CACACGGCTACCGAAGATGACGAGGTGGCACGTTGAGATACAATGTGGATCCCAGTACCGTGCCTTGCGGCACTCAGCTAGTGGAGTAATACCAGTTAGGTGATCATTCACATGTGCCTCCTACTTCAGCCCAATAAGGAAGTCGCTAAATCCATTGATGCAGTGAGCCACCAACACTGCTTATCCTTAGCTTGTGTAGGAGGGGCTTACCTTTTTGAATGCTTCACTGAAACCAATGTACACCACCTTTGCAAGATTCCCTTGCGTCACTGCCTGCGTCCATTCATGCCTCGTCACGAGCACCTTGGTGATGCATGGGTTGCCCTTCTTAAAACCGTGCTGTACCAGCGTCAGGAGGTCTTTCGATTCCTTAGCTGCAACAGACCTTTCTTCATGATCATTTCGAGGACCTTGGCAGCTCGACTTACATTATGCGCCGTGGTTGCACCAAATATGACGAAACAGCGAGGTGACTGATCGATGACGTGGTATAAAAACATGAAGAAATTGACCGGGAGACATAGTCTTCGTGGATAAGGGGGCCCGGGATGGTCCGCAACAATGGTTGCAGACCTTATCAGACGTGGCGCAATTGCGCAGTCAATGGCGTACCAGCATTCGGTTTCTTGCATCTGGTTGCTTTCATTCCATTCCGCTTAGTATTATACACTTGATTTCTTTTTGCATTCCACTTATTGTTATTATGGCGACGTGAGTCGTGGCAACTGGATCCACCTCATTTTAAATAAATAAATAAATAAATTGTATATGGCTCGACGATGCGAGAAGCCGTTCCCAGAAGGGACGGGTCAAATAATGGTACAGCAGTTTCATATCATGGTATAATAAATTTTTTTAAAAATGTGAGCACAAAATGAAAATTTGTATAGCGCGAAGCGGTCCAGAATATTTACATTCCTCTTGTTCTATCGTCTGACAAGTTTTTAGCAGTCACATAAGAGTTGATCGCACACGAGAAAAAAAGAGAATAAAGTGCTGCGGGCCAACAAAATATAACCACTTGTGCACTTGATCACATGCATTTTCAGGCACCATTAACTCCGTTCTCAAAAGCGTTATCTAAGGACTGTGCTGTTCGAAACATTATTATCACATTTTGAACGGTTAAATAATCTTTTATCGAAACCTTAAACAAACGCAATGTGCAACAAGTTCTGATAGCTCTTGGAAGTTTGTTCCAAAGCTTTGAGCAGTGTAGTAAGAAGAAACGCTCCCTAATTCGCGTATTGAACTTTGGAATCATGACCGTTGTCTCCTTATTTCGTAGCTCGTATCTAGTGTTAACGGCCATATGGACACAGTTAGCATAATTGTGCATGTGATGGTGAATTATTCTGTACAGGAAACACAAGTTCATCTTCATTATCCGTAGCCAAATTGGGTCAAGTCCAAGTTTTTCACTGCGCTCTCTGTAGGTCATCTTGGAGGAATATCCGCACAGCTTCTTTGTAAAGCGTCGCTGTACCCTCTCAAGAGCATGTTGGTCAGATTTCCGCAGATTCGACTGTATTAGTGAGCAGTATTCCATGCCAGGTAACACATATGTTTTATAAAGCCAGATACGAGATTCCGTGAGTTGAAATTTATGACAGATATAGCCAATAGTCTTCATGGCTTTCGAAACTTGGAAGTCACAATGTTCCGAAAAGTTGAAGGTAGTGGAATACCGTACACCCAAGTCGCGAATCACTTTGCACTGTGATATAAACGTGCCTTGTAATAATAGACTATCTGGTGGAACTTCGCATCTGTACGACAGAATATTACATTTGTCCACGGAAAAGGACATCTGCCACAGTTTGCTCCAGGATTCAAGTGCCGATAGATCTTCCTGAATGTGGCACAAGGCTGCGCGGGTATCTGCACGTTCTTGTGAGTAGACGATTTTAATGTCATCAGCAAACAGAAAAGTAGTACCATGTCTTATTCTATGAAATACATCGTTGACGTAGAGGAGAAAAAGAAGTGGACCAAGTACACTTCCCTGAATTACTCCACTGGTGACTGCTTTCGGTTTAGAGACACGGTCCCCAATACGCACCACCTGATGTCTGTCAGCTAGGTATGACGACAACCAAGAAAACATTGGTTCTCCAATACCTATTTCTTTCAGCTTGAGGAGTAGTCTTCGATGCGACACTCTGTCGAATGCTTTTTGCATGTCTAAGAACAGGACAATAACACTGTTGCCTTTGTCTATGGCAGCCGTTGTGTGGTTTAAGAAGTCTGTCTGGCATGTCGCACAAGATCTGCCCTGCAAAAAACCGTGTTGTGAATTGTTGATGACGTTTTTCTTATTCAAGAAAATAAGTAATTCATCTTTCACTATCCTTTCCATAATTCTAGATATTACTGGTGTGTGGTTGATGGGGCGATAGTTTTTAATTTCGTGAACGTTTCCATTCTTATGCCGCGGGATAACAACGGAAGTCTTCCAGTGCTTAGGATATACTGCACTGTTAAAAGAGAGCGTAAAAATGTTGAGCAATAGAAGAGGCAAGTCGCTGCCACCGCTTTTTAACAAACAAGGGGGAATTCCATCAGGTCCTGGGTAAGTCGAGGAAGACAAGCGGGAGACTTGACCGGAGATTTTTGCAATAGTGAATTCCACTGTGCATAAACTTTCAGCAATGTGTGGTGTGACAAGCGCTGGTGTGGCTAGCGGTTCATCAACCATTGATTCGGCAAAATAGGCGCTGAAAGCCTCACAAATTTCACCCGGAGCATCAAGGTATGTGCCATCCGGCATTATGATAAAATTGATGGAATTACTGCGACGCAAACCTCTGGCACGAAACAGTTTGGGCAGTTCCGTTGTTTTATTTGGGCCATTCAAAGCTTTGTATTCTTCTAATATGAGATTGCGAACATTTAGATGTCCGAGTTCCTCGATGATCTTTGCCTGCTGCAGTATTAGCGCAAAGTCTGCTGTTAATCTAAATTTCCGCCGGATCTTATGTAGCTTGCGTGTGATACCTAACACTTTGCGATCGGGTTTTTGTTTTCTTAGGCGGACACACTTTATAGGCACTAATGAATCAATGCAAAGACCGATGATATCATAGAACACGTCTGCTGCTTTTTGAGGGCATGTAGAGAGGAAGAAATCATCCCAGTTCATCGAACGAACCATATCCTTAAACGTGTTCCAGTTGACGGAGTTGAATAAACGATAGTGCAGTGGGTGTGGTTCGTTGGCCATGCATAATCTTAAACAGCATTTGACCACCCGATGGTCGCTCCCAGGGAATTCATTAAGGACCGTTACATTAATAGCAGGTATGCCCAGTGAGAAAATGAGATCAAGGATGCTGTTTCTTCTGGTAGGTTTGGAGACATGTTGTTGCCAACCATTCATATGAATACAAGAGATAAGATTTTGAAATTTCAGAGGGGCAGTTCCTGCAGACCATGCAATCGATGGCAGATTGAAATCACCACCGATAACCTTGTGTTTAAACGGAAGGCTTGCGGCACATTCAAATGCAGACGTCAAAACTACTAAATCCTCTTGGCTACAGTTTGGCGTGCTGTATATACAACCAACAAGCAGTTGCTGGTGTCTGATCGTTATCGTAAGCCAAAGTGACTCTTGCACATTATTCAGCACTGGATTCTCGAATGTCGTTGCTGCCAGCGATTGTTTCGCGTAAAGTACGCATCCTCCTCCTCGACGACACTGCCGATTTCTCATAAACATATCATATCCGAAAATGGTTAGCTGGGTGTTAGGCATGTCGTCATGGCACCACGACTCAGTTATAAATATTATGTCAGGATCGGTTGAACGGATACTAGTCGTTCAACTGAACTGAACTGCTGAAGTCACTGGTCAGTGCCTGGCTCTTCTGCCATACCACAGCTGACGCTTGCGAAAAGCTGACAGTGTTCGATGGAAGGCACCGAGTAGGCTTAGCGAATGTACTCACGCGGAGGGGTGAACACAAACATTCTGGTTTTTCAATTGTTCATTTGTTCTCCTGGCTTGGCAGTCTGGTTGCTAACGTTTCACTACCATGCAGAGTGGCGTTGTTAGTGCGGCGTACAATTTTGAATGGGGGTGAAAGGTTTGAAACCATACTGACAAGCTCGGAGAACAAATAAGCAACTGAATCGTCAACCCGAGCTACCAGTACTCCGAACTATTTTAATTAAGTCTGGCGTTTCATTTGTCTGTCCATTGAACTGTAGCATAAGCAATTCTGTTTGAGTGCTTACCAATGGCCCAACTCTGTGGGTATCGCTTGCCGAAATAACACCGAATTGTTCGTAGCTCAGATACAAGTTTAACGGACACTCCAGTGAGAAACGAGAGAGTTTCTCACCCAAAATCAATTGGCGGATCTAACTAGTTGTTCCTAACAGATGTGAGCAATACTGCGCAACGCCGATGAACAAACACGGCCAAGCGTTTAATGTCCAGTGCGAATTGGCTAGGTCTCTGCTCCACACAGTAACACCGGCTTCTTATCACACCCTTATACACCCTTCATCACAGATTAGTGTTATGTGTTAATTACTCCCAGCTACATGCTGCAACCGACTCCGTGTTTGTTCACATTCCTCAGGCAGAGAGCTCCTCGCGTTCCATCCATATTAATGGTACTCCAAAGCAAACCTGCGAAACCAGTAGCATGCTTGCGTTTGATTCATTTCTTTTCCGGATGACTTTGCAGTTTTGTCTGTTACCTCAACGCTGTCTTTCACTTCTACGATCCTTTTCAATATTATGCAACTGCTTACGGTATTCCAGGCAATTCGGTTCACAGAACGAATCATACGGTTGATCAACAGTTGAACTGCCTCCTTCTTTTCTCGACTGCTGGTTTTGTATCGTATTTCGGTATTATTGGCGTTAATTAATTATCGTAATTTAAACGGTTATTTACCTTTCAGTAGTGGCCCTTGCATTCTTGACAGTGGCAGTCCTAGAAGTTACTCCGATGTCTTTCTGACTTTTGTCTTGTAATAATCGGGGTATGCCGGTTGTGTACCAAGGTCCCCGTACGGGTGAGCCACTATTCGAACAGTTTGGCGAGTCTCCCTTGATCACGGCTGTGCTCACTTATGCTGGCTTCATGCTCCTGAACTTACTTGGTCGACTGCAAGATTTTCTACGTTGGTGCTGCATACTCCATTGTCCATTGGTTAACGAACCAAAACGCACTCGATCCTTTGTGCCACTTTACTCGTCTTACGAGGCATTTTACACTCGGAATATATACAGGCGGGTACAGGATTGCTGGAACCGTCCAATCTGTTCCTCTCCTGGGGTGGAAATCACTGTCTTGCACCGCGTTACCAAAGATAACGGATGGACTCTCGAGTGAGTGAGTGGTGAACACCTCTAGGCTTATTAGTATGTAACTCATTGATTTCCATTTTGCTGGTTCCCTTTACAGCAATAAACGAAATTGGGTGTCACGAAACTTGGGCTTTTTGCCGACTTATGCGTTTTTATGGTGTACGCTCTTGATTGACTCTAGAATGAAATTATTGGATGCTAAATGTTTTTAAACCCAAGCTATCTCATATGACAAAATATTACCTTTGGAACACATTCATCTGCGCACGTGAAATTGGATACTTGGTCCGTACCCTGATAGTATACGGCAGTATAAGTGACGAGCAGATATCTAAGGCCCACAGAGGATAATCGTGCGTAATATGAATTTATATTACAATAGGATATTCCGGAGTCATGAGTTATGAACGTTCTCTGTGGTATTTCTCAGGAAAAACCGAGCGTTTTACTGCTTGCGTTTTCAGTGTTGCTCTACTCTAACCTTTCGTTTGACGGACACGAACTACTTGCAACGGAGGGAGACGAATACGTCTTTGTCAGGCATTATGAGTCAGTTTAGCGTATTGCCTCACACTAACTCAGTTTCTTTAGCTAATGAAATTGACATTTCTCCAGCGTACTCGGACAATCTCCAATGGAAATTCGGTGCAAGTTACCAGTGGTTATTGGTACAGCCCCCAATCCCTGTTAGTTTTCTTTGGTGTTTTCGATGTTAATGTAACCACTGTTCGCCCTAGGTTTCAAGATTATGTCCCCATTCCCACCAACCTTCTCCCTTTTGGGTTTCGTCACTTGAGCTACTCATCCTACATATTCCGTCCTGTCGGCCTAATTCATCATCATCATCAATACACGTTAGTTGAGGATGGGCAACACACTTCAGGCAATGTGTCGCAATACAAAACGTTGAGATACTAGAAATTTACACTACAAAGCATTCAAAAAGCGCACTATAATGTTAGGCAAGCATCAACGGTACGCCGGTACGCAGAGCCGACGCTTCGCTGCCGCGCAACCATCACGTGGGCTAAGGGTACGGCGAGGATCGTATTGCCCCTACGCAGGCTTGAACCCGCGCCGTCTGACTCATGATCATACACGTTAGCTAGAGGAGTAAAACACCTCAGCTACTGTGCCACAATACATAAAAGAAAAGGAAACTAAATACAGTGGGTCCCCTTAAGCCATTTCGTTAAGGCAGAGAGAAGACAGAGGTTGCGATATGTTAACATTTCGATTGTTCTCCTCAGTCGCAAACACAATACGATCAGAAACATACAAGGGATTATATACATGGGGAAAAAAGGCACCACCAATCAAAATGTCACAGTCAAGACCATGGCAACCGAATGGATTGCCTCAAGAGTTTCTGTGCACATAGCACAGGTTGATAAGCCTTAATTAACAACGCCTCACTAATTGCTAGCATTATCGGGTTTTTGTTACGTAATAACACTTTGAACGCTGTCTCGGGGTTTACGTAATGACGGGTTGTCATGAGGTGCTTGGTGATAGACGATGCCGGGCTCCGATTGATTCTCAGATTCGTCCTATGTGGTTGCGTAATCACTTGTCCCAACCACTTTGGCAAGTGTTCAGCTACCCTCTGAGCTAACTGACGGTTTGTTCTGCCCATGTAAATGTCACCGCAACCGCAGGTGAACTGATAAACAACGTGAGAGGCCGAACTACCCGACGAGATGCTCTGACGGTTATGAAGAACAAGTGCTCGCGTGGTATGCCTGAGTCGCAACTGGGCTGTCGTGTAGGTTCGCGTTAGGGCGGACCGGAGCTTGCGTCCGATGTCATTTGCCACATGGTCCCCCTTGAACGGCAAGAACAAATAAACATTCTTTTTCTCAGCCGTTAATACCGGTGTTTTCAGGCTGGGAGGTCTGCTGTGTACCTGAATAAACTTCTCAGGATATCCATTAGAAATTAATGTCTTGCGTAGAAATTCTTCTTCGGCTTGTAACGTTTCGGGGCTACAAATACGCCTAGCCCGGTAAAATAGAGTTCTCACTAACCCGCGTTTGTATGCGATCGGAGCGAAGCTTGAAAAATGAAGGTACTGTCCAGTCCAAGTCGATTTGCGGTGAACAGTGCGCTGCAACGTACCTTCAGCCTGTCGCTTAATGAGTATATCCAAAAACGCCAGGCAGTGGTGTTTTTCCACTTCATGGGATACGGACAGATTAGGGTGAATCGAATTTAGGATGGTCAGCAGCCGATCAAAATGTTCTCCGCTGGTGAAGACTAAAATGTCATCCACATATCGTCTATACAATTTCGCTTCACCAATGCTCTCAGCAACTTGTCTTTCTATCAGGCCGAGGAAGATGTCGGCTAAAACTGGTCCCAGCGGGCTGCCCATAGCGACCCCGTCGATCTGTTTGTATGCGGTCCCCTCAAATTCAAACCGTATGTTTTCGGTGCACAATAGAATCATATCCTTTAAATACTCCACTGGCAGGCCAACAGAGATATTTAC